ATTTTGATTCATTCACACCAGATAGCTACTGTTGTCATTTTTTATTTGACAATCTAAGAAAAAAGAGGCCAGTGCTCCTAACTTGTCAGGTATTACATTTTTTAAAATTCTTGTGGCACACCAGAGTGCCATAGCACATGAGTCAAAAAATCACTGTGTTAAGTAGGAAAAAGAAAAGGTAAAAAACAGTATGTACAGTACACACAATTTGTATAGAAAACTGGCAAAGTGGGGAGAGAATATATGAGCATTTGTTTGACTATGAATAAAATCTCTAATAATTATTTTTAAATCAATAAATTTAAATTAATATCTGATCATTACTGTTAAGAAATTATAATAAGATATTAATAACACTGCTTGTCTCTGGTGAAGGGAACTGGATGGCTGTAAGACAAAGCTAGGACAAAAATGTCACTATAATGCTTTTGTCATATTTGCTTCTCTCTCTCATGTTTAAAATTTTAAACTATGTGCATGTATTACTTATGCATCAGCAACTGAAGATTTTAAATAAGTTCAATAAAAAGCTTTACGCAATTAATGCCAACTCTCTGATCCTTTATCTCACATCTGCCTGAGCATTTAAGCAGACAACTAGCATGTCATTCACTTATTTACTAATATGTGTAGTGTAATTGACTCTGTTATCTCTTCAATGAAGCTGAGAAAAGTTATTATCTCCTCCAACTGTTTTAAATCTACCACCCCAACACCTAACAATGCAGTATAAAGGCTAGGAATTCTAGTAAACATTCGAGTTACAAAACTAGGAGACATGAACCACAGGTTTATTTCAAATATTATTCCCTAGAAACATTTAAAGGCCTCCAGGTAAAAAGCCATTTTGTGAATTCAAAAAGCTTTGGAGAGATTGAGAAAAAAGAAAAAAAGACTCATGGACATGGACGACAGTGCAGGGATTGCTGGGGGCAAAGGGATATAAGGAAACTAAATGCTAATGGAAAAAATACAATAAAGCTTATACCAAAAGAAAATAAAGAAAAAATTTTTTTAAATAAGCTTTGGGATTATGAATCAATTTCCCCTCATAATCTTTCATAGAACAGCATTTAGAAAAAGCTGGAGCCATGAGTCAGGTGTCAGCTACTTTCCAAAGAGACACAAGGACTAAATCAATTTCTTCTTTGAAGGCACATTGGTTTTTTATTGTTTGTTTTATTTTTGCCCCTTAGTTTTCTAGATGTGTTAAGGCATTGTACTTTACATTACCTGGCAGAGATATGGAGCTGGAGAAATTTACAAGTTACAGCAAAAATTCCTAATCCTCTTGGAGTTGCAACATCTGGTGCCATTTTAGGGAGACAGCCTTACACTGAAAATAATGACGAACTCACAAAAATTAGCTGCCCCATGATGTGTTAGATCAGATGATGAACTGCCTTTAAATGGAAGTTTTCAACAGGAGTATAGATAAAATATTCTCACATTAAATGGAAAATTGGACTATAAAATTCCTAAGGTACATTCCAATACTAAAAGTTCAATTAAGTTCTTGAATTTTATAAGATGGAATCCAACGGAAATTAACCAGCTTGCCTTGTCGGGGCCAGGAATAACACTAAATGGTGACATACAAAATACAAACCAGCTATCTATCCTCTTGGTGCTAATCTACTGATATTACTCTTATTAAACTTGAAAACTAATGAAGCTCCTACCAACCGACTATCCCCTCAATTTGGTACGTGTGTAAATACGTACATAAACATGTGCACCAACTTTTACGACTAAGGACAGATTTGAAAGCTTTCTATAAGAACTCCACAAACTCATTCAGAATTTTCAAAATTTGTGTTATCATTTCAAAAATACAAATCATTTCTTTTTTTAAGATTTTATTTATTTTTATTTTTAGAGAGAAGGGAAGGAGAAAGAGAGGGAGAGAAACATCAATGTGTGGTTGCCTCTTGCACATCCCTTACTGGGGGCCTGGTCCACAATCGAGGCATGTGCCCTGACTGGGAATCAACAAAGATACAAATCATCTATACAAGCTTATTCTCTCTGGGTTTATCACTTTATAACTAGTACTGCCATACAATTTTAATTCCTGTTGTCACGTGATGGTAAACGCTACTGTGGTTCCTTATATAAGGGAGGGCGAGTACAGCATGCTGAAACAATGGAATGAGCCTAAGTCCCAAATAACATAACCAAACCAAATGGGGCCACCAAACTTTGGGTAAGGCCCTTCAACATTCCTGTATTGAATACAATACATTCCTGTATTGTATTGAAGTTACTTTTCACTTGCTTAAACTTCCTGAGACTAGATGGCTTTACGGTAGTTTCAATAACAAATTGGTAAGAGAATTATATCATTAGAACATGCATACTGAGACTGACTGGTTGAACTCATAAAAACCTATGTTCTATTAATCAAATTCATATTTCTTGTGTAAGTGCAATGTCCTTATGACACTATTTGTCAGTTTCCTATCTAATAGCATCATCATGTAAGCCATTATTAGATTCAAATAAAGTAGTGAATAGTCACTAAATTGTAAAATAATAAAACAAACAAAAAAACTAGTTAAGTGATAATCTTTTAGAGTGGAAGTTCAATGAGTACCTCCTTTAAAAATGTTAGTCCCTTAGCACTGGTTGGTATGGCTTCGTTGGCTGGAGCGTCACTTCATATATACCAAAAGGTTCAGGGTCTGATTCTTGGTCAGGGTACATACCTAGGTCGCAGATTCAAAAGCTAGTTGGGGCACGTACTGGAGGCAACTAGTCAAGGTCTCAATCTCTCTCTCTCTCTTTTTCTCTCTCTCTCCCTCCTTCCCTCCCTTTCCCTCCGTTTCTATTCTCTGCCACAACCCCCACCTCCCACTTCCTCCCTCTCTGGAAGTAATGGAAAAAAAAATCTTCAGGTGAGGATTAAAAAAAAAATGCTAGTCACCTGATAGTTAAAGAAATCTTTTTCAGCCAATGAGTCTTTTGTGTTCATTCACTTCTTCATAACCTTATTGTTTTAAGAGTTTGGAAAGATGCTTGATGCATATCTCCTATCATTATTAATATTTAAGAACATTTTAAATAATGATGTAACAACCTTTTTCTCCGAATTGTAAAAAGACTCCTCCAATTAGAAATACCAAATTCCAATGTATTATTCCACCAATTTTTATTTTAATTTACTTCTTTCTTCAACCAAAACTATTAGGAATATACATATACATATGTGTGTGTGTGTGTGTGTGTATATATATATATATATATTACATATATGAATTTCGTTAAAGAAAAACACTAGCCCCAGACCTGTTAAACTAGTCTGTATGACAGCCAAAATGTTTTCCTAGTGATTCAAAAGGGAATAGAATTTTACATAATGAACTATACCTGAACCTGTTAACAGCCCTTAAGAGAGGTTAATATCAGACAAGAGAATTCTGAGGCTGGCTTTCTATCACACTGCCATTTCACTGGCATAACTCAGTCATTTCTGAACTACAAGTTCTCTAAAGCTAAATGTCACCATTTCCCAACCTCTCCCCCCATTTTAAAAACAATTAAATCTTATGCTTGATGTATTTCTATTCTGCACTGTAACTTGTATAAAAAACTTCTGTAACACAATTAAACACAGCTTCATAAGTTAATATTTTGCCATGGACACCTTTCATATGCCCACTTTACAATATTTGTTAATTATTTTTGTATTCACAACAGTCTTCCTATTATCAGAAATTAAGAAAGTGAGGCAAGAAAAGTGGGAAGAGACTTGCTACTACTTTGTAACAAGAAGGCACCTACCTGGAAAATGTAGCTGCTGTCCTGTTCTATATTACTATATTAGACCACAATGCTTTCCTTAAAAGTGCCTGTCAAATAGGCAGCACAGAAATACTCCTCAATCACAGACATCTAAGGAATTCCCCCCAAGAAGTAAGAGAAAAGTTCATTCAAAAAATGAAATCAAAAGAAAGTGAGATTACAGGGACCAACTTCTGAGGCTGAGGACTAGGTTATTTGGTTTATTCCACACATTGGGAAATTACTGAACCATTGCTTAACTAGAAATGGAATTAATCAGGAAGTCCTCGGGCCTCTTGATTTCTGTCTTAAACCCCTAACAAAATAATATATATGAAATTAAAATCTTTCCCCCTACTGGAGCAGCTATATTCTTACATACTTCTATAAAACTCAAAAGACATGCATGGAGTCCCTGGTATTTAGAGCTGATTCCAAGTGCCCACGAGTGTCCACTTTCCGTGTCCAAATCCAAAAATAATGTTGGCACTAACACGGGCAGGACCTTGACACACATTTTCCTCTAAATCATTAGCCACACATCACCTTCCAACGTCCTATCTCCAACAACTTGATCAGTAATGGTAAACGGGAAGGAGAAAGTAACGAGAGGCACATACGTTTACTAGTGGCTCACAGAAAACATAATAAAACCCTGGGAGCAGGAGGAGCTGGAAAGAGATAACTCTCCTGGTCCTGGTTCCCACCACCATACAAAGAGACAGCGAGAGCAAGAGAAGCAGGGGTCTCTGCACGCCACACCGCACTCTGCAAGAGTTAGAAGACTTTCGATGCAACTGGACCCAACCCTCAAAATTCCCCTCCCACGTGGGTTTTTCTCCCTCTCCCGAGCGCAGAGTCGCAATGAAGAGAGGAGTCAGAGGAAGGAATCTGACCACGCCGGCGCTGGGACTGGAGGGGTGGAGAGGCGAGCCCCAGGCGGACATCCCAGCCCCTTCCTGGGCTGTACGCCTCCCGGTTCCTGGTCTGAGCTCCCACCTTAGAGACCCCAGGCCCTGTCAAGTCTCCCAAGAGGGGAACGAGAAGCCCCGGAGCTGCGGGGAGGCATGGGCAGCCTAGCACCGGGTCTGTCCGGCCGGGATGGAGCCAGGGCCGCGTGCGGGCGGAAGATGGGAGGCGGCCTCCAGCTGCCACTGCCCCTCCCCGGGCCCCAGCCTCTCCAGGGTCCGAATCACTAGCTCTGGGGCTTTCCTCACCTCACCTCAGGCTGGCGATGTCCACGGTCCGGCGGTCCCGGACCCCCTGCGCGGGGACGGTGCTTGGCGGGAGGAGACGCGGGGAGCTCTGGCGATGGCTGACAGGCGCGCAGCACCAGGTCCGCTGGGTACACGGGAGGGGGCGGGGCTTTACAGGAGCCGGCCCGCCCCCGCCCCGCCCCCGCCTCTCACCTCAGGGGGCGAGTCCCATGAGGTGACTGCGTCCGGGGTTACTCGAGGCCGTAGACCTCCGACCCCGCTCCGGGTTGGGGCGCTGTCTGGCCAGCTGAAAGGAGAAGCGCGGACCCCGAGCGCCAGGCGAGAGCCAATGGAAGGGCGGCGCGGGGCGGGGCGACGTGAGGCGATACTGATGGTCCGAGCGTCGCTCTGCCATTCGGGACCCAGCGGCTAGAAGGCGGGCGGGTCTCGGGCGCGAGCGGCGCCCCCGGCCCAGCTTTCGCCCCCCTTTCTGCTGGGGGCGGGTACAGGGCTGGCCGGCCGGCTCCCCCTCCTGGCGGACGTGGGAGTGGGGGAAATGGCGCCGCTTGCACCTCCCTTCAGGGAGGAAAGCGCCCGGGCCAACAGGCGTGTAGCGCGGGAAGGGAGCCCAGAACCAAGCAAAACTGAGTAGGGTGGTTGGTGCGCGTGGCTCGTAAGGACCTTTTCGTGTCCAGTTCTGAGACCCCGAAGAGGTGGGTATTGCACCCGTGAATTGCCCAGGATCACACAGGCTGGTGTGCAAGTTAGTGCAGGCTAAATAACCCCTATTCTGGAGCAACATAACCAGACTCCCCGGCTCTCTCCTCAGACCCACCTCAAAGGAGTCTGAGCGCCTGGATCCTGGAGCATTGAGGCATCACTAAAACCAGCTCAGGGGCAAGGGCGGTGTGCAGAAGGACCGCAGTCTTTCCTGCCTGCCCGGAGCAGGGAAAATAGCAGTAAATTCCCGACTTCTACTGGAGCAAACCTCCCAACTTCCACTGGAGTTAACAGCAGGCCTTTGAGAAGCAGACGAACAGTTTCTCTAGTTTTCCCAGTCATTTCATAGAAGACTTTCATGGTGGCTCCGTGTTGAAAATTAAGAGGAACTGGAAAGAACCCGATATATAATAGAACTGTTGGGTGAGAGAAAAATAAAAATGCACTTCAAAAAAGAGGATGAGTTTAATGGAGCATCCAGAGCACTTCTCTGATCCTTACACAATCTTGTTCTTAAGTCCAAGAGATACAGAGGATGATTTGGTGAAAAGTTTTTTGCCAGAGGGCAAAAGGTCAATAAGGTAGAAATAACACACCTGAGGCCAGAAGTTCTCAAGTACGCAGCTGAGGTCAGAAGATCTTGGGCAAAGCGGAGGCAGGAAGATTAGTCAACAAGGAGCAATATTCACCTAGGAGCCCTCAATATCACTAGGTGGAAGCTTCTCCAAGAGTTTAACCAATCTACTTTAAAATAATAGGGACTAGCCCTGGCTGGTGTAGCTCGGTGGATTGAGCGTGGGCCTGTGAAGCAAAGGATCACGGTTCAATTCCCAGGCAGGGCACATGCCTGGGTTGCAGGCCAGTTCCCAGCAGGGGACGCATGAGAGGCAACCATACATTGAAATTTCTCTCCCCCTCTCCTCCCCTTCCCCCCTCTGAAAATAAATAAATAAAATAAAATAATAGGGACTAGCCCTAGCCCTGGCTGATGTGGCTCAGTGGATTGAGTGCCAGCCTGGGAACTGAAGGGTCACTGGTTTGATTCCCAGTCAGGGCACATGCCTGGGTTGTGGGCCAGGTCTCCAGTAAAATAATAGGGACTAGAAATAAATTTAGAAAGATGTGGACCTCATCAGAGCACTGACCCACATTTCACAAAGGCTATGTTTGCCATTGGATACATCTGTCAGTTGAACAAACATAGGAAATCAAAATTTAAAGATAACAGCAGGTTTAGCAAGATGTTTGACTTGGCTGACTGAAAAAAAAAAGGGGGCCCGGGAAGAGGGAATTTTTACATCTCCCTAATAGTGGCCTCTGAAGCTGGTATGCAGAATGTGACTTTGGAAAGACTAAAAATCTTGAGGTTTCCTCTTGTATTTTTCATCTACCTTTCCTACTTCCTATGAAGTAATAGACTCTGGCCCCGAGATTTCTTCTTAGTGGTATTGCTGTTTATCAGCCTTAGGAGCACTGTAAAATTAGGTTACCATCAAAAACTGTCTTTAGCCCTGGCTGGTGTAGCTCAGTGGATTGAGTGCGGGCTGTGAACCAAAGGGTCACCAGTTCGATTCCCAGTCGGGGCACATGCTTGGGTTGCAGGCCAGTTCCCAGTGGGTGGGTGCACAAGACGCAACCATACATTGACATTTCTCTCCCTCTCTTCTTCCCTTCTCCTCTAAAGATAAATAAATAAAATCTTTATTTTAAAAAAGGCCGTCTTTATGTGAAACTGCAGCAAGCCCTTACATGTCCTGCTTTTGACCTCACTGAATAGAAATAGCCAAGGAAAGGCCTAACGAAAGAGCTACAGTGAAAGAAAATGAAGGATGAGTTAGGATACACCAAGAGCACTTGTGTGGGACCTAATAATCTAACTATTACCATAAAGTATTAAGATGAGTAGGCAGAGAGCTGTGTCTTTAAAACAGTGCACCTGGAATTTCAACAACTTGGAAGTGGTGCATGCCAAAACCTGCCAATCTTTACTGTAGGCTCTATAGAGCTGTTCCACGAATTCTTGCCACACAAGCCACTATGTCTGAAAGAAGCAGAGGAAGAGAGCCAAAGGGTGGAGAGAACTTACTATACAAGACTAACAGGTGGAAGAGAACATTTCTGGAAGCTGAAATAATAATGGGATGAACTGTGTCGTAGAATTCCTGTGTTGAAGTCCTAATCCCTATTAACTCAGAAGGTGAGTATATTTGGAGATAGGATCTTTAAAGAGGAAATTAAGTTAAAATGAGGTCATCAGAGAGGATCCTAATTCCAAGTGATTAGTGTCCTTATAAAAAGAGGAGATTAGGATACAGACACACAAAGAGGAGAGACCATCTGTGACTTACAAACTGATGAAGTATTTGCCAGAATTGTAGCTCTTATGCTTGAGAAGATGGCCATCTACAATCCAAAGAGAGAACCTTCAGAAGAAACCAACCCTGGGAACCCCTCGATCTTGGACTTACAGCCTCCAGGACTGTGAGATAATAAATTTCTATTATTTAATCCACCCAGTCTGTGTACTTTATTATGAGAGCCCTAGAAAACTAATACAAGTTCCCTTGTATTAATCAAATAGCCTCCAATCCTGACTGGTGTAGCTCAGTGGACTGAGCACAGGCTGTGAACCAAAGGGTCACCGGTTCAGTTCCCAATCAGGACACATTCCTGGGTTGTGGGTCAGGTCCCCAGTAGGGGAGTGCAAAAGGCAACCACACATTGATATTTCTCTCCCTCTCTTTCTCCTTCCCTTCCCCTCTCTCTAAAAATAAATAAAATCTTTAATTAAAAAAATGGCCTCCCAGTTTTTTAAGAGAATTTTTAAAGGTATCAGGGATTTATCCTGAACATTCCGACTATCTTCCAACCTTAATGATGGTCTTTAGTACTACGTGTCAACTATAAATAATATTTTTAATTGGAAAAAAAGATGATCTCTCACCCTACTGTGGAGTAGTAAAAAAAAAAAATCTGAGGGGTCCCTGTCTTTAAAGGTTCTTACAATCTAGTTGGGAAGACAAAACTAAACACCAAACAGAATGCATACAAGAATGTATACAGCTTGCTCCCGAGATAGCCATGTGAATTTTATAAGAGCCATAGAAGAGGATAAATTCTCAAAAATGACTAAGCCCATAAAAACACAGTATGTGAGTCCACTGTCCAGACCATTGTGACATGTTATTCTCAATTCTACTTTAGTTTATGGCAGTGTTTCGCAAAGTCTGTTTCACTGAGCACTTGGAACAGAATCACTGGGCGCCTGTTAAAAATGCGTATTCCCAGCCCCACTGCAGACTTTTTAAAGCAGTAATTATTCACCCTGGTAATTATTCACCTGCAGTTTGAGAACAACAGTTTAAAATTTATCTTTTTTTTTACCCCGCCCCCTAAAGTTTATCTTTATTGTCCTTCTCTTTGCTGCCAGTGTCCCTGGTCAAACAGCAATGCCTTCTAGGCCTGCACTTCCAAGAGAGAAAAGTTTATCAGGTCGGGCCAGAGTGAAACCGAGGGAGAAAAGTACCTTAATAGAAAATAGAACTATGAAGAGCCCCCTGTGCTGGTGGCTGTCATAGTTCCAACTTCTTTAAGTAGCAAGTCAATGACCAACTTTTAGGACAAAGGATAGAGGAAATACTGAGATGTTATCTCCCACTGGTCCCCAATATATAACATACACTCCTATCTTGCTTTGAAATCTTGCCACATTCATTCTTAACTTTGCTTACACCGTCAAACTCATCCTTCCTTCCTAATTTTCTGAATCCTTCTAGTCCTCAGAAGTCCCCTTTTCTCTAAGAAGATCTCTTTATTTCTCCAGCTTCTACTAACTTATCTCACCTCTGAATTCCTATGACAATGTGGTCACAGCCACAAGGTTCAGAATTTATTAGGCTTTAATTTTTTGTGTGTATGTTGGTTTTAGCTCTCCAGCTAAATTTTAATAATCTTAAAGACGAGAGCATTTCTTTTAGTATAGTATTCCCTTCTGTAACTACTAGAGTAACAATCAGTATGGATGTTAGTAAATCATTTATTGTCTGAACTAAAGATTTCCTGGCTCTGTACCTGAGAGGCCATGGTACTCCTGATGTCTGTCTGCTTATCCTCTTTGTGTTGCCTCTTGGAGGCAACGCCTCCAGTAGGGTACTGAACTGATTTACAGATGGACAGACTTCATCAAGGAAAGTCAGTCCCTTGACCAGAACTGTGGCTTCAATTATGACATAGAAAAAAAGAAGACACAAAGACCTTTATCTGAACACTATGTTCCTTTGCTCAGGTCAACCATTTGAATTCATCCAAAGTTGAGAGCCTGGAAACTTGACACCACAGAGTCAGAAAATGTCCTCAGGGATGCTACTTTATACGTCTAGTCCTGATGATGAAAGGTAGGATTGCCCAATGAAGGACCGGGTTCATA